ATAGTCACAGAGAGAGAGAGAGAGAGAGAGAGGCAGAGACACAGGCAGAGGGAGAAGCAGGCTCCATGCACTGGGAGCCCGATGTGGGATTCGATCCCAGGTCTCCAGGATCGCGCCCTGGGCCAAAGGCAGGCGCCAAACCGCTGCGCCACCCAGGGATCCCAATACTTGTTATTATTGATCTTTTTAATTTTAGCCCCTCTAGTATATAGCAGTATGTCATTGTAGTTTTCATTTGAATTTTCCTGATGAGAAATGATGTTGAGGGCCTTTGCATATGCTTATTGGCCTTTTGTATATTTCCTTTTGCCAAATGCTTCTCAGGAGAATTGAGGAAGTGGTGGTGGTGGCAATATCTGTCAGGGAAGAGAAATAAAGGTATGATTTGGAAAAGCAGACTTATCAATGATAAGGTGACTTTTCCCAGTCCTGAATATTTATGCATTTTGGTGTTTTAAATAGATAGTAATGTATAAAGTGGTTAAAAGAAGAACTTAGTAGGCGCTTATTCCCAAGTATCTCCCTCCTGGCCTATAACCGCTATCCACACTTCTGCCTCAGAGATGTGTTCCTTTGGGCTTATGACTCGGAGTTCTCAGCACATTAATGTGAATGCATATGTGGGCTTCCGCCAAGACTCACACTGGCTAGGAGCGCAGTGTGAAGGGTTTGGGCACTTGGGGGTGCTGCATTCAGGCCCTCGGAAGCATGAGGACCCTGGCTGCCTGGGAGAGTGGTAAAAAAGGAAACACCAGGAAAGGGAAGAAAGGCTTAGGGCAGAGAAACCACAGGATGTACCCTAAACTTTTACTTATTTCATTCTGTTTTCCCACAGTTATTCACTTTGGTAAATCTTGGAGTTGAGGAGAGAGGAAAGGGAGGAGCACAAAATACATCAGAAATGTTATTAAACATGTTTGCAAGGGCACAATGCCAGCCAGTAGGAGACTCTGGGACAGTGTCATGGAATAAAAGTGCTATGTAATTGTAGCAGTAAGAGTGATGTGTGAAGAAGGTATTACCAGATTCCTTTAAGCCTTCCAGAAAAATCAAGGCACTTCATGTTTATGTGCAACATATTCATACACTCCAGTAAAGGAAAATCTGAGGCAGACAAGGTCCCCTCCATCTCACAGATATGCCATAACCTGTGCAGAAATGTAGGGACCTGGTCTAAGGTCTACCCCAGGGTAGAATGAAATTAAGGTCCGAGATCACCTCACTAGTAACCCATGTGGCTGGCAATGGACATCTTAGGATGCTAAGGGTTTATTCCTATTTTCAAGTATACCACAGCATCCATTCTCTAGTGATTATTTCTCATGTTTAAGACAGCATGATAGTAATGAATCAGCTCTGAAAGTCAGCTGCTATAAATGCCATGTGTTATCAGATCACAAACTAAAGCCAAATTTTCAAAACATTTCCTGCTGAAATACCCACAATACTTTAACAGATGTCTTTTGGAGAGTCTTGTAGCAAAATAAGCTCCCATCAGCATATAAAATAAAACCCAAAAGAAAGTAAAATGTGGAGGGATCATATTTTTCTTCTGGCAATAAGAGAAAGGTTGGGGAAAATCTTGAGATCTTTGGTGAAATGCTTCTTCATAGCCACAAAAGTGAAGAAATTAATGTCTGTTATTTCTTGTTCTGAACACTGACCGTAAATGTATAACTCTAACTTTTATTGAAGCAGTTTCATGGGCAGGTAGAGAAATGATCTGAGAGTATAAATTATGGGGCCAGCAGGCACAGAAATGGGGTGAAAGTATCAAAGAATCATCTTTTGTCAGGGACAGGATGGGCAAGACGAGTGGTGGCTGATTCTAAAATGGTGCATCTTGGAGTCTACAGCTTCTCAAAATCAGTGGTAGGAGGGCCAGAATGGGAACCTGGGAAAGGAAGGGGAAATTTTTATGTGTGCTCTTCTCCAACATTGTATTATGAAAAAAACCTGGAAGTACAGAAAAGTCAAAAGAACTGTACAGTGAACATGCATATACGCATGAGAGAGATATCGTTTTTCACGTGACAATTTGTTTCCATAGGGGGTTGACTGACTTTCAAAGAAATGCTCCTGAGTGGTCTAAGAGGCTTCCCACACACCTATTCTGGGGAAGCCAGGGTTGTTCACTGCTCCTCCTGCATGGAGTGGTAATTCCAAATGCAGGAGGCCCTGTGGGTCTGCTTATATTTTATCTATTGTTTTGGATGCTCCTTGCTCATGCTGTCTTGTCTCCTATTTGCCTTGTTATCTTTGACTTTGTGCTGGATGTTGTACTGAAAAATTTTATGTGGAGATAATTTGATACTATTTCTTTTGAGAGGATTTTTGTGTGCTTATGCCAGGCACATAGGGGGTGCTAGCTAGCAGCACAACAAAATTTTTTTTAAGCATTACCAAGGCAGTAGGAATACAGTTATGAACAAGAAATGGTTTCTGCCCTTACAAGTCTTACTAGGAACAAGCAATAGGATTCATTTGAACAGAACCTTGAAAGGATAATTTAATTCAAACAAGTTTGATCGGTATGCAGCTTTTCCTCACCTTATCTACGCCCACTGGTTAAGGAATGGCATGCTGGGCCATGCAGATCAGATGCCCTGAGGTAGTGGTTCTCTTTCTGTTTTATTTTTTAGATAATTATAGAAAAAAAATTGTATGAACTGATTACTTCATTCACCGTATAAAATCTAATCAGAAATAATCAGAACTATTTTACTTCCTTTGACCAAACACCCAGGAACAAGAATGCTTTAAAACACTACTACACGTAAGCAGTTACTAATTTCATAGCAAAAATAAAACCAAAGTCCATTTCAATATTATAAGCTTAATTACTCTAAATCAACAGATCATCTATAGGAACTTGAATGCTTCTGTCGTGGTGGTAGAACCAAAGAACAAAGTCCTTCCACACACAAGCTCTGGAGTACCTAGTTTCAGCCCTCACAAGCTGGAGGTTGGAGCTCCTATCAAAATAGTGGAGAGGCAGATTAGCTGAGAAGGAATCTTCAGTGGAGTATAACCTACAGAGACCTTGACTTAATGATGGTGAGCAAAACAGAACAGTTACTTGCTATCCTCAGTCATTTCCAAATGTTACCTCATGCTTACTTAATGGCATGGAGGGGTTTCCCAAACTGATGAAACATAAAAACCACTCCTCATCCCTCACTCCTGGAAAAAATACTCAACAGGAGAGCTGACTTAGTAGATTAAAGACAAACTACCAAAATTAATATATTAATATTAATATCATTAATATGTTTTATGCCCTGCAGTTCTCTGTTGTGTAATTTTTAAAATCCTTTCATAAGACACCAGAGCCTGTGGTTTCTTGGAAATAGGTTCCTGTACCATGCAGGCTTTGTTTTCAAGCTCCCTTTTCCTACTTCCATGAGTTTGCTCTCTGTTTTGCATACCCCAGTGTCTTACTTGAGACCTGCACATCACTATCTGTGACTGATTCTTAGGAGAGAGCCAGGTTAATGTCTGAACTCAGGCCAAATTCAGCACATCTGTCAAAGTGATCATTTTCAGTGAGGGAGCCACAGACCCAACAAAATCATTTGTCCTAAATAACATCTAGATCAAAGTTAACTGGGCCTGAGGAGATGGCATTTGCTTTGCTTAAAAATTAATGAGCAACCCTGTCACTTAAAATTTAGAAACTTAAAATAGAATTAGACCTTGGGTGTTCCACCTCCAAAACAGATGTCTGCCATAGGCTTAGGAATAATTAGAACTGTAATACATTAATGCTGAGCCTCTGATGGAACCAAATGTTGCTTGTGGTTTCCTCTGTTTGTTTTCACTTACTTGCACTAAGATGGCTAGTAGCCTTGAATCCTGTGGTGTCTGCTTCCTCCTGATATCTTGAGCACACTTTTACTTTTTTGGGGTTTCCCATCACTATTAAAACACACGAGGCTCCTATCATTCAAGTGTACCAATAATTTGTTGAGCTACAATGAGGAGGCATTTTGCTGGCATCATGGAAGACTGAAGAGAAAATCAAATATGGCTCCTGACTCCTAAGAACTCATAACCTAACAGGAGAAATAGACACATCCAGGAATAATTCAGGTTACATTAAAGCAATGCCATATGGAAAGTGCCATAACAGAGGCCTAACTGAATCCAAAGGTGACATGGTGTAGGGTTTAAAAATTTCAATGTCCTCAGTAGATCCTGAAAAAGGGTTACCTGATTATTCTCCAAACAGGACTGGCAAACTGAAGGTGCAGGGCCTCCTACTCAAAAAAGCATGGTGTCCTTCTGAGTGCAGGGCCCTGTCACACGCCCTTGGACTAAGCCCTGTCTTCAAATACAGTCTATGAATATGAGGAAGAGGCAAAATTTAAGCAGCCTGGATGAAGAAAGTACACCCAACGAATTTTCTTCCAAGTAGTTCACAGGAAAATAAACTCACTCTAAGGAGAGAGAAGAATTCAGTCTTTCCCAAATTGACAAATGGGACTGGGATCAAAAGGAAAGTTTTCATTTGCAAAGACAATGTCACAGATATGGCACAGCTACAGTAAGGGTAGCAATAATAGTAGCAGTATCAGGAGTAGTAGCTGACACTAATTTGCAGAACTTAAGTGCCACCATTCTTTTTAGTCTATTCTGGTGACTTACGCATTTAATCCTCAAAACAGCCCTGGAGGGTAGATGGATGCTTTTATTTCCCTATTTTACAGATGAGGAAACTGAGCTTAGAAAGGTTGAGGAATTGTCCCTGGTCACACAGCAAATAAGTGATAGAACCAGGATTTGAACTCAGACAGTCTAGCCCCAAAGTCTGTGCTCTTAACCACTATTTATGTTATTTCTCGTAAAATTAGGATGTATATGGAAGGAAGGAAGGAGGGAGTCATCCCAGTATATTCATTCATTAATATTTTAGATTTGGCTTAACCAGGGTGTACTGTGTGTTGTGTGCATGTTTTTAATTTTTCCTTTTTTTTTTTTTTTGCATTTCATCTTCATAGTTTAACAGCACCCGTTCGCCCTCCCCCACTGAGTGTTGCCACATGACCCCATGGAGTAGAAAGGTACTGGTTCTGAGAACATTCCATCACAGCCCTGTCCCATTCTCTCCAGACACTTTCTTTTCTCTTTTAACTATGGTTAACTCTGTTGTTCCTAACTAACAGGTATTCTTTTAAATCCACTTCAAGAGTGTTACTTTCCTAACTTGAATTAAATAAAATATGATTTAGACAGCTGTGTCATTGGCTTTCTTTCCCACTTACTTTCCCTCTGTAAATTACAATCAAGGCTCTGTTCAAGATGGGCATCACCTAATGCCACTCTTGGACCTTATAGTTCAAAGGAAAGAAATTCCAACTTGCCCTATATTTATCAGAACTGTAAAGGTTCAGCTTCTCAAATCAAAAAAGAGAACAGGACAAAAAGGTTCTCTGGCAGCCAGTTGTCCCTGTCGCCATTAAATAAAACATGCTTTTATTTAATGCTGGTCAGAGCCTGTAGTCAGGTCACTATTCTTTCTTTGTTTCCCAGTCCATTGTTATTCAAGGAAGGAATCGCCTACAAAATGTGGCCTCTGGTGGTGGGGGTTTCTCTTTAGGCTCTTGCTCTTTCTCCCTCTTTTTCTGTCTCTCTTTTTGCATGCACCAAACTTTTTTTTTCTTTTTGGAAGTTACCTAGGAAACAAAGTCTTTTGTGCTCCAACTTTATTTGAGCTATTCGCTTCGCTGGGAATCTGCACAAAAGCTGAAGAGAGAAAGAAGGTTGCAATGTTTTACTAAAATGTTCATGGCGAACACATTTTTCTCAAGGGGGGGGATCATATCCTGTTGGGTGTGTTGGGGGGCTTTGCAGATACCTCTGACAAGGTAAGCAAATGCTGGGGGGGGGGGTGGTGGTTAACTTAAACAAGTGGCTCTGGAATCTTCTCTTTAAGAGACCTGAGAACAGTTTGACAATATGTGAAATCCTGAGTCAGCAGGGCATGATGCTTCCAAATGTGGAGATGAGAAATTTTTCTTTTCATGACTTTAGGACAGAATATTATTAAAATTTAACTGGAATAAGATGAAAAAATATTTATTGTATACAAACACTCACCTTCCTTCAAATTATGGAAAGAAAGAAAACTAGGGTCAGTGGTGAAAACTGGGTCTTTTAATAATCTGGTTTAGAAACCCAACCCTGAAATCAAAATTGGAATGGAGCCTTTTTAATAATCTGGGTTAGAAGCCTAGCCCTGAAATAAAAGGTAGACAATATTAATATCTACCAAGGGCTTGGATGGAGAATTTTCATACAGAATGTCATACAGAAGTCAAAGCCTCTAACAACACAGCTAGAAGAAAAGCTTCACACTACAAAGCTGAAAGAAACTAAGGCCCTTTAACTCTTCTGAATTTGAAAAAGAAACTCACTTGAAGCTTTCTCCCCGTTATCTGCTTTTGTATTTTCCACTTATAATAAGTGGGAGAAGAGGGCTGCTTTTCCAAGCACACTCACAGTGTTGATGAAACTCAATTTTTGAAATGTTATTCACAAATGCCACAGTCATGCAGTAAAGATAACTCCTTATAAATTAATCCAGCCTCTCAGATTAGAGAACTTGTCCTTCAGATTATGTGTTCTGGAATGTCTCCTGAACTCCAGGTTTTCTGGCACATTTTCTGAATCCTTCATAGGAATCTAAATCATCTTCTCCCTTTGATCCTAGTCATCTAGAGCTCTCGAGACTTTCATTAGGAATATATGGCAAGATAGATATCCAGAATCTACCTGTCACTGGATTAGAGACTAAGATTTTCCTTCAGTTTGAAGTTTGGGGATTTATGGCTACCTTGTCTCTCATCTTAATTCCACTTGACCTGAAAAGCATGTTTACTTTGTCCATTTTTTTCTTTTGTGTTGCTTGGCTATTGAAATTACAACTTTCAATTAGTTGTGCTTACTAACTATTTCCTTTGACTTAAAAGCTTATTTATGCTCTCACTGTTCTTAACTAAACTGTGAAATTCCTTAACATGTGCACTCCCATATAAACCATGATGGCTAAGTCTGAATGTACTTCATTTGCAGTCCCATCCCCCAGAGGATGAAGATACAGATGTCATGTTAGGGCAGAGGCCGAAAAACCCAGTACACAATATCCCTTCAACACTGGACAAGCAGACCAACTGGAGCAAAGCACTGCCTCTCCCAACACCAGAGGAGAAAATGAAACAAGATGCCCAAGTGATTTCTTCTTGCATTATTCCCATCAATGTCACTGGTACCGTTCTGTTCTTTTCCTAGGGGCAGTCGGGTCATAATATTCTGTGTTTTCAATATGTTCAAAACCTGTGCTGCTGGGCGTACCAGTAAAGAATACCGCTTTGTAAACAACCAATACCTTTTTCATCAAAATACAACTCAGAAGATGTTCAATATGCTTTTGTCAGGTTTTGAACATCCATTTGCATATGTTCTGCTGGGCCGCTTGTTATGTAAATGATGGACAGTTTCTTTTTGAAAAAAGTCACCAAATAGCTCTTTGGTCATAGCTGACTGAAATAATGGAGAAAGCAGCAGTGATTAGTCTTATGATAATGATGCATGGCACAGCAAGAAAGAAAACAGCAAACCCCAGGTCTCTCAAACTGCAAGTAAAGATCCTGTAGACCAACTATAAAATCTGTTTTCAGTCTTCCTTGGATGAAGGTAGGCTCGTTTAAAAGATCCTTTAGACTTCTGCATTGATTTTGGTGATTTCTGACCTAAAAATATACAGATTCAAAGATGAAGGCTGAACTCTATATTAATCCAGCTAGCCTGCCTTAACATTCCTCTCTGCTTTCCTTTTCTTGTGTATTGAGAGTTTGAATATTAGTCTAGGTTGAATGCAAGCCTGTCCAGACTATTCTTGAGAAGTTTATCTGTAGCGATTGTAAATCCCAGGATAGGATCTGGTAATCTTAGCTGTAAGTGAAATAATGTTAAGAAATATTCTCACTTTCAAAGATAGACATAAGAGGATCTATCCATTGGGCTTTCTTTAAACATATCTGATAGTTATATTTTAACTTAATTGTGTATTGAAAATTTCACAGTGGCCATGATATTACTGACTTTTATTCCGGTACCATGTGACTAAAGACTGCATTGCTGCTTGAGATGCATTTTGGACGTAGCTATTATTAATCCCACTCAGATATTTCTCACATAAAGTGGGGAGCAAATGATGACTAGATATCAGGGATAGATATTATTTCCTTCCTGAAAAACAGGAATTCTGGTTGATCCATTGGTTATGAGCTAGGAGAAAGTTTCCTAATGACCTACTCAACTTGCAGGATAAATTATTCTAAGGATATGTACTTTATCTGATCTCCATAATCTAAGTGGGCTGGGTTAGGTAGATGTCAAAATGTGCCATTTTGGCATCCTCTTAAACTAACTTTCCCTTCTGGGAACATTTGATTATAAGCAGCACCTGCTTTCTTCATAGCACTGTAAGTAAATCTTGTTTTCAATTTTAGTTCTTTGATTATGGGTCTTGTGATTCAGGAAAAGGGAAGATCTTTCTTTCTGCTTTATTTCAGGAACTCTCAGACTAAAGCCTAGATTATATGTTGATTTCAAGAGCTTTAATGAGAAAGCTGCTAATTATGTCCATATAACATAAAATGTATCTGTGTGCCATGTGTTCTGTAATTATTATGAGTAGAATGAAAGATCTTAATTTTTGGTTGGAGCTAAGAAAAGAAAATTCCGTTAGTACGAATTCTCCAATAATATTGTAATTACTCATCATGTGATATCTCACAGATTTTTCAGAGTTCTAGAAACTGTTGTCACTGTGATGCTAAGCAGAACTCAAATTGCTTCATTTTATAGCTAAGCTGAGGTTTAACACGCCATCCTGCTCTATGCTTAACAATCAGGATAAATGATGAGGCAACCCAATTCCAATGTACTTTTGGCATGATGACTGTCAGAGGCAAAGCCCACTCTGAAAAATCCATGGCACATGCCTGTGCCAGACAGGAGTGTGAATTCCTTACCTCCTTCCTCACCACTCTAGTTTTGATAAGACTGCATTGCATGTAGTATATCAATAATGTGATTATGGAGAGAGAAACAAACAAGTATCAAGGTTTGGTCCCTGTATTTATAAAAGCAAACAGACACTCATTGTAAAGACTGGGAATTCCAGCTTCATTTATAGCTGATAGAGAAAGTAGATCCACTTAAATACAGAACTGGGGACTGCATTGTGTTTTTATTTCATATTGATACCACATTGGTGCCAAACCAAAAAGTGTCCAACTGAGTCAGTAGAAAAAAGTAGAAAGTTATGTGATGATTTAAAAACAAATCTCTAGGCTACTTACTCCTCACAGAAGTGTGTGAGTATATGTATGTGTGTTTGTATGTGTGTGTGTGTTGTGTGTAGGGTTGGGGTGTAGTGAGCAGAGAGAAAAAAACTCACAAAGATGCTTTTAATGGAAAAATGGGTCAGGATATGTTAGCTGAACTAATTCAGGTTAACTTTTTGGCTCTGGATCTACTATGTAAAGTCAGCTTCAGAGAGCCCAGAAATAGACCAGTAAATAGTAGTAACTAAAGGTTGTAAGTCCTTCAGGAGCTGTTTCTGTATGAGCATGATTCTTTGATGTTATTTTTCTCTCTTCTTTCTTTTGATTTTCCTCCTTTGCTTGTTACTCTTGGCAGTGCAAGCTGTTGCGCAGAGCTGCATTTAGAAGTAAAGCTTAATGTACTGCAGAGTAATTTAAATAACAGCTGAATAAGGGCTCCCTTATATTTATTCACGGGCTTAATCCAAACTCTTCCTTGACTTCCAATCAATAAATATCACTGTGTTCCAAGCAAATGAAAATTTGTTTGCCATTTCTAAAGGCTAATGAGACCTATTTGTGGGTTGCAGGAGTTGGTTTTGACAGAGAGGCTAGTATACGCTGCTCTCTTGTTCATTCACAATCCGTACTACAGCGGAGACGAAAACTGAGGAGGAGGAAAACCATCTCGGGTATCCCCAGAAGAGTCCAACAAGAAATAGGTGTGGTATAAAACTGTTATAGTTAACATTTTTTCAGGTGTCAATTAGAAGGAGATGAAATGGAAGCCGGCCTTTTAATCAGCTTCTTTAAAAATAGTGTTGTAACTTGTAAAGGTTTTGAAATGGTGTGTACTTGTTTTGTGCTCAGCAAGCTGTGTGGCATGACTTTCTGAAATCTCTGTTCTTGACTGTGAAGATTTAACCTTACGGATTTAGGTATTCATGTTCAGGTCTTCTGGCTGAAATGTACTATTTTGGTAGTTTTTTTTAAGTTTTATTAAGATGGAAATAATGAATAAAAAGTAACAAGAATCAATGAAAGATTACTTTTAGAAAATTATATGTTTATTTGAAGAGAGATATACTTTTATGGCATTAGTTATTTTAAAAAGGTAAATTTCAAGCATATTCAATTAAATATTGAATACTGATAACATGTCACCCTTTATGACTTTTTTCCTTTTTTTTCTGTTCCATGTGTTTAGGATCTCTTCCTATGTTTTATTATTATTATCATAATTATTATTGTAGCATCTCTTTTACTACCTATAATGAACTGTAAGAGTTTTATTTTACTGGGCATGTATTACAAAATGAAAAAAAATAGTGGTCAGAAAGACAAAATGGACTTTAGTTGAAAAAATAGTAGTCACTTATTGGGGCAAAGTAATTTGATAGTGAAGAGAGAGAATTCACAAAAGACCTAAAAACATTTTCTCTTAGTACACACACACACACACAGACACACACACACACTCTAGCATGTGTGTGTGTGTGTGTCTGTATGTAGATACAGAGAGCGACAGACAGGCAAAGGGATAGATTCCCCTGAGCATTTTAACTTTCTCCTAATTTTATATGCTGATTTTTTTTTTTTCTCAAAGAGAAAGATCCAACATGCCAGCACCCAGATTTGTGGACATCTCTTAGAATGTCTGTTAGTCTGCTGATGTATAAAATATCTCACTATGCTTTCCATGTGCCCTAGATTCTGATGAATCCCCTGTGGCCAGGGAAAGGAATGTGATTGTGCACACAAATCCAGACCCTTCCAACACTGTCAATAGGAGGTCTGGAACCAGGGACTCAGAGTGCCAAACCGAAGATATCCTGATTGCTGCTCCATCCAGAAGGAGAATCAGAGCTCAAAGGGGTCAAAGCATAGCAGCTTCCCTTTCTCATTCTGCTGGCAACATCTCTGCATTGGCTGACAAAGGTGACACCATGTTTACAACTGCAGTGAGCAGCCGTACAAGATCTCGGAGCCTTCCCCGGGAGGGCAACAGAAGTGGGGATGCTGAGCCCAAAGTTGGTGCTAAACCCTCAGCATATGAAGAGGGGGAGCCTTTCATGGGCGACCAAGAAAGAACCCCTAATGATTGCAGTGAGGCCCCCAGCAGCCCAAGTGCACAGGAACACCAGCCTGCTTTGGGTCTGGCTTGTTCTCAACATCTTCACAGCCCCCAGCACAAGTTAAATGAGAGAGGGAGGTCACGTCTGTCCCGAATGGCTGCTGACTCTGGCAGTTGTGACATCTCCTCCAACTCAGACACCTTTGGGAGCCCCATCCACTGCATCTCCACAGCGGGTGTCCTCCTCAGCAGCCACATGGACCAGAAAGATGACCATCAGTCATCCAGTGGCAACTGGAGTGGGAGCAGCTCCACATGCCCCTCACAGACCTCAGAGACAATCCCTCCTGCAGCTTCTCCTCCCCTCACTGGCTCTTCACACTGTGACTCAGAGTTGTCACTAAACACAGCCCCTCATGCTAATGAGGATGCCAATGTCTTCGTGACAGAGCAGTACAATGACAACCTGGATAAAGTGAGAGGCCACCGGGCAAACTCTTTTACCTCCACTGTGGCGGATCTGCTGGATGACCCCAACAATAGCAACACCAGTGACAGTGAGTGGAATTACCTACACCACCATCACGATGCCTCCTGCCGCCAGGATTTTAGTCCTGAGCGCCCCAAGGCAGATAGCCTGGGCTGCCCGAGCTTCACAAGCATGGCCACTTATGACAGCTTTCTGGAAAAGTCTCCATCAGACAAAGCAGACACTAGCTCTCACTTTTCAGTGGACACAGAAGGATACTACACTTCCATGCACTTTGACTGTGGTCTTAAAGGTAATAAGAGCTATGTGTGTCATTATGCAGCCCTGGGCCCAGAGAATGGCCAGGGCATTGGGGTTCCTCCGACTCTTCCGGACTGTACCTGGCAGGACTACTTAGACCACGGGAGGCAGGGGAGACCAAGCATCTCTTTCAGGAAACCAAAGGCAAAGCCGACCCCACCTAAACGTAGCTCATCTTTGAGGAAGTCCGATGGAAATGCAGACATTTCTGAGAAGAAAGAACCAAAGATAAGCAGTGGCCAGCTCCTGCCTCACAGTTCCAGGGAAATGAAGCTGCCTCTTGATTTCTCCAACACGCCTTCTCTAATGGAAAATGCCAACCTTGCCATCAAGCAAGAGTCTTCTTGGATGAACCAGAGTGAACATGGTATCAAGGAACCTCAGTTAGATGCTTCAGATATTCCACCATTCAAAGATGAAGGTGCTGAATCAACTCACTATGCAGATCTCTGGCTTCTAAATGACTTGAAAACAAATGATCCTTACAGATCTTTATCCAATTCAAGCACTGCTACGGGTACCACAGTTATTGAATGCATCAAGTCTCCAGAGAGCTCTGAATCTCAAACATCCCAGTCAGAATCAAGAGCCACCACCCCATCCCTTCCTTCTGTTGACAATGAGTTTAAACTGGCTTCACCAGAAAAGCTGGCAGGCTTGGCATCTCCATCAAGTGGCTACTCGAGCCAGTCTGAAACACCGACCTCCTCTTTCCCTACAGCTTTCTTTTCTGGCCCACTGTCTCCTGGAGGTAGCAAAAGAAAACCGAAAGTTCCAGAAAGAAAATCCTCACTACAGCAGCCCTCTTTAAAAGATGGAGCTCTATCACTGAGTAAAGACCTTGAACTTCCAATTATACCTCCTACCCATCTTGACCTAAGTGCTCTTCATAGTGTCTTGAATAAACCATTCCACCACCGTCACCCATTGCATGTTTTTACTCATAGTAAACAGAACCCAGTAGGAGAAACACTGCGGTCAAATCCTCCACCATCCCTTGCAATCACACCAACGGTCCTGAAATCTGTTAACTTGAGGTCCATCAGTAAATCTGAAGAAGTTAAGCCAAAAGAGGGCAACAATACAGATCTCCCCTACTTGGAGGACAGCACTCTCACAATGGCTGCCCTGTCTCCAGGTAAGATTAAGCCACACATGGCTAAGAAATCAGTATCACGTCAGTATTCCACTGAAGACACCATACTGTCCTTTTTAGACTCCTCTGCAGTTGAGATGGGACCAGATAAACTACAGTTAGAGAAAAAACGTACTTTTGATGTAAAGAATCATTGTGACCCAGAAACAGCAACAACCTCAGCTGGTAGCAATCTTCTAGATTCAAGTGTGACAAAAGACCAAATACAAATGGAGAGTGAGCCTATTCCAGAAAACACACCAAGTAAAAATTGTGACTTTCCCACAGAAGGATTTCAGATGGTCTCTGTTGCCCACCCAAATGATTTGGATGGTAAAGTACTACAATATGGAGGTGGTCCAGATGGAGCTGTTGCACAAGTGCAAAAGCCATCCTCTGCAGATTGGGAGGGAGCCGCACACCCTGAGTCTGTGGATGTGCTCACAGCTCAGTCAAACTCACCAACCAGACCCACAGACATAAGCAGTCAACTTAAGCATCAACTTGGGATGAGCCGCCACCATGACAAAGTGCCTGGGAATATCAGCTATGAAGCAGAGCTATCAAGTGCAAATTCATGCCCTGAAAAATGTTCCGAGCAAGAAAATATCGCTTCAGGTATTTCAGCCCAAAGTGCCTCTGATAACAGCGGAGCAGAGGAGACCCAAGGAAGTGTGGACGAGGTTTCACTGAAAGGTCAGTTGTTGATGCCTTTGTCACCATGGAAGTGTGTCTCGTGGCACATCATTACGTTTTTTTTTTTTTCTTTCCTGTGTTCCCTCTAACACAGTACAGCCCCGGGTGTTGGTTTCCCTCCACTTTTTTTTTTAAGATTTTTATTTATTTATGAGAGAGAGAGAGAGAGAGAGAGAGGCAGAGACACAGGCAGAGGGAGAAGCAGGTTCCATGCAGGGAGCCCGATGTGGGACTCGATCCGGGGACTCCAGGATCACGCCCCGAGCTGAAGGCAGGCGCTCAACTGCTGAGCTACCCAGGCATCCCTCCCTCCACTTTTTTATTAAAACAATTGAGAGAAGAGTTTTTGTTAGTGAAAGACTGAGCTGCGACAGATAATCTCTCTTTTTGAAAACAGCAGTAAGGTAACTGTTGTTTGTTGATTCCTTAAGCCAGGGAAACACAGCAGCATGCTTGGTAACTTCTTCCTAAAGATACTTTTGTTCTTCATTTAAGAATCGTCACCGAGTGATGACTCTATGATTTCGCCACTTAGTGAAGACTCTCAGGCTGAAGCAGAAGGTGTGTTTGTGTCTCCAAACAAACCTCGTACAACTGAAGATTTGTTTGCAGTCATTCACAGGTGAGGCAATTAATACCAAAAATTTTGCTTCTTTCAGTACATCTCATCAAATGCAAACATGGGAAAGCCTGTGTATTCGTGATACATTCAGCAAGAAAGCAAAGAAAGATTAGTTTTCCACATTAAACTGATAGTCTTATATTTCTTTTGGGGAACTTGAGCCTTTATATGTAGCTCAACCTCACTTGAAAGACTTCCTTAAGAACTGAATGGAGAGGTTTTTTTTCCATAGGAAAGACATCCTGGAACAAGTTTTCATTTGAAAACAATATGTGGTTAAGTAAGTTAGAGTAAAAGCTCAAACTCTGCTATAATCTGTGACTGAAATAATTTCTTGAACCAAAAAAAAATGCTCATAGCTGTAATCCTACACTAGCAGAGATGCAAGCTGATTCACTCAACAGTCAGAGCCCAAGTTTGAGACAAGACAGTGTATAAACCTGCGCATATTATAGCTCATAACTAATCACTGATCCTTTTACTTTTCTCTTCCTAAAAGTTAAACTTCTTTTTTAAAAGATTTTATTTATTAGAGAGAGAGAGAGAGAGAGAGAGAGAGAGAGAGAGAAGCACAAGCAAGTGGAGCAGCAGAAGGAGAGGGAGAAGTAGGCTCCCTGCTGAGCAGGGAGCCCAATGCGGGGCTCCATCCCAGGACCCCAGGATCATGACCTGAGCCGAAGGAGGATGCTTAACTGACTGAGGCACCCAGGCTCCCCAAAAACTTAAACTTCTTCAATAACATTGGCCCTGCTCTAAAATTAATGTTCCAAATCCCACAAACAGAAGATGTCCCCTGGGCTGTTTTTCTAGGACATTTTTATGTCCAGGCTGCCCATTCACATTCTCTTACCTGCCCTCTGTGCCCTGTGATCAAGGGCCATGTTTGCAAGAATATATACTCCTTACAATTTGTGACTGATGAACAGAGCAGGAACTCGTACTTGGCAACCAAACCCATATTAGACTGAGCTATCCAATCCCATTGTGCCTGCTCCTATCACAACCACGACTACCTTCTTCCACTAGGCCTTGGTGACCTACATGGGACACCCAAGGGACACAACTTGGAAACTGCCTTTTCTACCTTATGAAGTCACACTTCTTAAAGCAAGTTTTTTGCAAGAAGCTTGTCATTTTTCCTGGAAATTCTACTTTTTTAAAACCATTTATTTATTTGAGAGAAAAAGAGAGAGAGAGAGAGAGAGAGAGAGAGAGAGAGAGAGCACGAGATGGGGGAGGGGCAGAGGGAGAGGAAGAAGCAGACTCCCTGCTGAGCAGGGAGCCTGATACAGGGCTCAATTCTAGGACCCCGAGGTCATGACCTGAGCTGAAGGCAGATACTTAACCTACTGAACCACCCAGGTGACCCTGGAATTCTACCTTCAAAGAGAACTTGCATTTTCTGTTGATGTAGTTTTCTCATAAAGAAGGAGCACAGCTCTTCAACAGCTTTTTTAAAAGGAGTCCATCAGAACCACTTTCTGTGTGTATATACCTTAGCAGGCACACATTACCACTCGGAAAGTAAAGAATCATTAGTCTATTTTTTCTTTGCTCCATGTGTAGTCTAAGATCTGATTATATTTCCCTTACCCCACTTTATCTTACAACAAGTCACTAAAATGCTATATATGTTAAAAAGCCAACTTCTTACCCCAAAGGACCAAATGCTGGTATCTGGAATAGTGAACAGAACATAAGTAGTGGAGTCAGAAACATCTGGAATTGAATCTCAGTGCTGCCACTTCTTATCCAGTCTTGTCAGTTAAAACTTCTCCACTTATTCCCTGACTGTTAGTGAAGATACCTATAGCTCACATATTCAATTTTGATGCAAAAATAACATTTTAGTGTCTAGAATATGATAGATGCTAAAAGCAAATGTTAGTTTGAAATTCTTACCGTATTGGAGTGCCAGACACTGGCATATGCAAGATAACAACCACAAAGGTTTCAGTGAATCAAAATGAGGCTGCTCTCCAACTACAAAGTTGATATTTTCTCTACCCTATGGATTTTTAGGTTGGTAAAAGCACGTTGCCAATATTTATCAATGTACTGAATCATGCTAAAGATTCATTACAGTCACACCTATTTACTTATCAAAAGAAATAATATGATTGACGGATGCCTATGTTTGGTAGATTTACTGAACTTGGTAATCTTAGATTTGCATTTGTGTAGGATTTATTTATGTGCTACACAGTGACAAGAATGATCTTGTTTTCTTTCTTTTTTTTGTGGATGACACCTGATTTTATTTTTTTAACCTTGTTTTCTTGAGTTTGCAGTGTATAGAGCTTTAAGAGCTCCAGAGGTAGCCTAGGTTTTTAGCTTCTCACAGAAAGTTGGCTTACTTATACACTGCTGACGTTACTAAGCAGCTATGGAAAATTGTCTTTACAGCCAAAAATGGACTGAATGATTTAAAAAGTCACGTAAGAAATTTTTTATATGGAGAAATTTAAAAAGTAGACAGAAAAGCAATAATGTACCTTCCCCTGACACACACACATATCCATCACCTGAACCTGTCCACCAGCAACCTATGGCTAATCCTGTCCCATCCACACTTCTATCATCTTTGCTCTTCTGGTACTCACTGGAAGTCAACCTCAGACATCAGAGCATTTTATCTGTAATGCAGAGACAGATTTAATAAGAGAAAGCCACACTCCATCACTGCCTATACTCTAACTGGAAATCAGACAGCAATATTTTCTTATACTCTTGTAAAACATCCCAATAAGTCTTCCTCTAGAACCTCTAGCCTTCACATTAGTCACTATGTGAAATGGTCATTTATAGAACCTAATTTATATCCACTGGTTATTGGAGAATTTTCCTCAGGCTATGAGTGCTATAAGGGATAGGAAAGTATCTCACTCCTCATCGTGTGCATGTGCATGAATGTGACTTAATACTTTTAGTTTCGTAAAAATGTATGTGGACCGAGATTTTTCCTTTTCTTTAAAGGTCGAAGAGGAAAGTACTTGGAAGAAAAGATTCTGGGGATATGTCTGCTCGAAGCAAATCAAGAGCTTCTCTTGGCAGCAGTAGCAGCAGCAATACTGGCTCTGTCACTTTGCCCAACAGCAGCGTGACCAGCCCAAACAGCCAGAGGTCTCCTGGCCTCATCTACCGAAATGCCAAAAAGTCCAACACATCGAATGAAGAGTTTAAGCTGTTACTCCTCAAGAAAGGAAGTCGCTCAGATTCTAGTTACCGCATGTCTGCTACTGAGATCCTGAAAAGTCCCATCCTGCCCAAACCTCCTGGAGAGCTCACAGCTGAATCCCCACAAAGCACCCAGGAGGCCCATCAGGGGGCACCTGGGGCCGAGGCTTTGTCCCCACTCTCTCCATGCTCCCCAAGAGTTAATGCAGAAGGGTTTTCCTCAAAGAACTTTGCCACCTCAGCAGCAGCAAGGGTGGGACGCTCCCGAGCTCCCCCTGCGGCCAGCAGCAGCCGCTACAGCGTCCGCTGCAGGCTGTACAATGCACCCATGCAGGCCATCTCTGAGGGTGAGACAGAAAATTCTGATGGAAGCCCACACGATGACCGATCCTCCCAGAGCTCAACATAGGTGGTCCAGGGCCAAGCTGGCTGTCAGAGGCCAGAACCCTTAGTCATATGAGGATGTAGGAACAGAACAGAGGACTGGGGAGAAGTCAGCACACCATGGGGTACCATCACTGCTTACCAACAAATTCCTAAATATTTGCTGGGGAAATGGAAGATGGTATTTCTTGATTGTTTTCCATGTTTTTAAGTAGCTGCACTGTCTTTCATATTTTTCTTTAGCTTAGTTTGATTTACACAATCTCATTCCTTTTGATAATATAGAATTTGAAAATGTCTGCTTTTCATGAAACCTAGAAAAAGTTTTCCCAGAGCTGCCTATTCAAAAAACAAAGCCCTCACTGTCATAATTCTTAAGAAGATGAAATTACTCTGGAGGTTTGGTATTTTTTTACATTAAAACGAACTAAAACAAAATTCAGAAGAAAGAACTACACACATGTAAATACCATATTTTTGATAAAAATGTGTAAATAGATTTATCAATGATGAGTGGACATGTGGCCAATTATCTACCACACACCAACTGTTTATAGAACACAACAAATAAAGTGTAATAATTGTATTCTGTGAATACCATTTTCATATAAAATACCATATTTAAATGTCCACCAATATGATTTTCTGAGTGATAAACCTCAATTATGAATTTTAAACCGGTGAAATAAAGAAAATCTCGAGGTCATATACTGAAATGTGATTAATTTAAAATAACGAATTCAGACCTAACCATTTTTGTGACAATTTGCAGTACCAAACAAGCAAATAGTAACACATGGCTATGATTTGCCATGTGGTAATTTGGACAGAATGAAAAGCATGCTTTTGATTTTTTTTAATCAGAAAAATCATCATTCTCAACACAAAGCCCTGGAGAACAGATTTGACAGTGTCATTTAGACTTAATTTTTCAATGGATTGCTTTAAAGAGAATGAATAGGGAAAACAATAGTTAATTTTAGGTTATGTTTTATATTAGGCTACTGGGGACATAAATAGTCATAATCTAATGACTATCCACTCCTTAAACAGTTTAGCAATTAGCTCCAGGTTCTTTAACTAACAAAAATAAAATATAAGCATGCCACAGAGCTATTGATTTATCAGTAAGTACCTGCAATGAGTTTTCAGTGAAGCTTTCTCTCTGTGCTGATGAGATTCATGCTACCTAAAAAGTAACAGAAATGACACTGTGAACAATATAGTTGGGAAATAGGTATGTGTATATGCATTATTTATATTCACTGTTAAACTGGGAATGGGGAACAGCTCTGGTTCACAATGCTACATACAAATGAGTTTTTGTCTGATTTTACTATATCTGCTTGATGGCAAAAGGGGAGGGTGGTGGGTGGGAAAGGAAATGTCAGGGCAAGTGCTCTGATAAAATGAAGGCAGGGAAACAAGCTGAATTACTTGAAATTACTTGAATTTTCTTGTCTTAAAACTGAAAAAAAAGTAGTTACAAGTTGAAATCTGCAAATGGTTCTTACACCTCTGATTTTAACATGAACTGATACTAATGTTTGAAATGATATGTCAGAAATATAAGCAGCTATGTACTTAGAATATGTTTTAAATGGAACAAGGTAGAAAGTAGAGAGAACTAAGAAGGGATATGGCCTATAAAAGAATAGAATGTGATTAGAATGATAGAACAGACCAGAGTTACCAAGAAATTGATAAGCAGCTGGCTTTAAGTTTATGCAAGTGGTATTTGGGAAAGTAGGATGTGTGAAAGGGGGTTTGTGGCTTTGGTTTAAATCATACAACATGAAGGAGAAAGCCTGGTCTAAGAGGATGCTGTCTTTCAATAGAAACACTTTCTAAGATGTTATAGATTGAGAATTAGAGAATCTGATTGCTGTTGTTTTTTTGTTTGTAAAGAAAAAAAAAGTCTGGCTTCTTCTATTTGTTTTCACTATCAAATTGTATTTCTTAATTTCTTGTCATCCCTGTATGTAAAATGGGTGCTGGGGGTGGCGGGGTAGAGGAGGGAGAACGTGTGCGTGTGTGGATGTGGGTGTGTGGGTGCTTGTGCTGGGATAGATAAGCTACCGGGTAAAGGGTACAGTTGAACATTTACAAAGTGTTATACTTTTTATTAAAAGAAAAATGTTTGGGGGTTTGAAAAAAATGGATCATCATTTCTCATTGGAACCCATTAGTCAAAAAAACCAGCATGGTTTGACACCACATGGGAACATGAAGAACTTTTTCTCATGCTTTGAAAAGTACACTTGGCAAAATTTTAAAAATAAAGTTTTTAGACAAATGTGATAAGAAACCGTCATTTCCAGTCACAATAGGTGATCTTTTGTAATTTTCATAAAAGCAGTTCGTTTGCAGTATGGCTTTTGTGTAGTTAGGGGTTTTTTAAGCGTAAAGAAAGGTATGTGGGCTTTAAAAGTGATTCTAAATCTTGACTAGGAAACACATGAATTGGCTTTAATAAATATGTCACCTTTTTATTATTGACATCAATTTAAGTAACGGTACCATATATTTTTTAAAATACATACTGACTTGAATTGTGAGGCAATAAAATTCCTTCTATATGTAATGATCACAGAACTAACCCTTATAATATAGTTTTACTTATTTTGTTTACTCTAAAAATCTATAGCAGAGTTTCTCTATTTTATACTTCATAGATTTAAAAAAATAACCCAAATAATGATGGATTTTAAATTCACTGTGGAAAGAGTATTGAGTAACAAACTGAGTAAAAAAAAAAAGTAAGGAATTCCTTAGTAATTTGGAATATTCTACATGGCTTTATTACATAGCATATAAAACCAAGAATTAGAGGGCTGTCTTCAACATCACTGCCGTTTTGAAGCAGGGTACACACATTAGGTATTGTGAAAAACATCAATCCAAACTTTTCTTCTGTTGTTTGCACTGATGCTAATTTTTTGTTCTTTTATGTTTATATAACATATCTATGTTTTGTGGGGGAAATTTTTTTCCTTATTTTTTGGTGGGTTTTGTTTTGTTTTTGGCTAAGTAGAGGACATGGACTAGTTGTAGCAAACAAAACACAGTTTGCTCTTGCCAAAGGTCAGTGAGTGAGTACATTTGCTGCAGTGATGGCAGATTTAGAGAACTAGATCAGGACAAAGATTTAAAACTATAAAGAAGGTTACAGTGTAACTATTTTGGTACTAGAACCAGTTCATGCTGGCCAAAAAGACAATGGTTTATGGACTTGCATCCATTTTGTATTTTTGTAATATTTGTAAATATGGACTTTTTAAATTGTTGCAGAAATGGTTTCTTTTGTAAGATGTTTTCAACGTTTACATTCAATTCAAGCCTTTGTATATTTTAGAGCTGTGCAACCACTTTAAGTCTTGTATTTATTTTTAGTAAAAATGGTGACAGTTTCATTGTGAACCCCTCAAAAAATGTACCAGAAAAGTTTGATTACCTAGAAAGTGTGTATAGAAACTGCAAATAAACGTGACTGCAATTAAACAACTGGTTTTTCTTGAATTATGTAATTGCATTCTTGGGGTTTCACAAACAGCACGTGTTTTATAGTGACCAGGACATAAAGGAAGGTGACTACTATAACAAAAGTATAAGCAAAAATAATCTCATTTTGGGTTTTGTGGGAGGTATTTTTTTTTTTTTTTACATTTTTAAAAAAGTAATTTCTACACCCATCGTGGGGCTCGAGCTCACAACCGGGAGATCACACATGCTCTACTGACTGAGCCAGCCGGGTGCCTCTCTAATCTCATTTTGTATTTGAGAGGAGAAAGAATAAATTTCCAGTTTCTACTATACTTTCCTCGTAGCTCCTCTGTGAGCCAAGAAAAGATTTATCGCTTTATTTTAAAATATTCACCTGCTTTGCTTCTGATACTCAGACTGTGCCTCCTTCCGAAGATGGGCAGCCTCGATATACATATAACAATATGCCACTGAATAATGTCATGTACCCTTTTTTACATAAATTTATGTGCCAGATCGTGTTATAAGTGCTTTGCTTACTCAAACTCGTGGACTCCTCACATTGTGCCCATTTTACAGATGGGGAAAGGTAAGCACAGAGCCATTACCTGACTTGTCCAAAGCCAAGGAGCGGCTAACTGTTGGGGCTGGGGTTAAGCCCTGTAAATCTGGCTCTCGGGTCTATGTTACCTCTCCATGAGGTAACAACTTTTAAAAATAACTTTCCCCGGGGCAGCCCCAGTGGCCCAGCGGTTTAGCACCTGCCTTCGGCCCAGGGCGTGATCATGGAGACCTGGGATCGAGTCCCATGTCCGGCTCCCTGCATGGAACCTGCTTCTGTCTCTGCCTGCGTCTCTGCCTCTGTCTCTCTGTGTGTGTCTCTAATGAATAGGCAAATAAAATCTTAAAAAAATAAAATAAAATAACTTTCCCCGCTTGTACCAAACCTCCACAACTAAGGCCCCATCCCCTTTCCTCCTTCAAATTCCAGCAATGACGTGAACACCTAGGATAGAGCCAAGAGTTGACATCTGTGGCGGGAAGGTAGGGACAAAATTACATTTAAAAAAATTTTTTTTTCAAAAAAACCAACCAATGACAGTAGTGAGGCCACGTGCCCACCAGCCTCACTCGGCTTTCTCCACAAAGCGTCTTCAGCGCTGGAAGAATCACGCGCGCATGCGCTGGCGTCCCCGCGCAGCCGCAGAAGCGCCTCTCAGCCTTGGAAGCTCGCGCACATGGTCTAGCGCCGGGTCTCAATCCCACCAGCTTTTGCGAACGGAAATCAGAACGAACGCCCAGCTACCGAGGTGGGCACTGCCGGTCGCGGGGTAGGAAGCAAAGCCCCTCCCCTCGGCTATCTCCCTAGCAACGTCCCACTCCCCAACCATTGCGCAGGCGCCCGCGGGATTGGTTAAGAGCCGCGCGTATTGGAACCTGAGTGCCGCGTGCTCCCTGGTGCGCGCGATAGTTTCGGAACTTCCGGTGTCTTCGAGGTGGAGGCATCGCGTGACAGAACCCGACTTCCGGTAGGAGGATAGCTTTTGAATCTGTGGTAGAGGTAACGGTTTTTGGCCGTTGTCGCTCCAGAAGGCTGGATTCGTCTACTGGTGTTGCGTCCTCTCCGGAGGCTGGTGTGTCAGGCCATGATGCAGGAACAGGTCTGTTAGCGGCACTGCCCCTGCCCTTGAACTTTCTTGTCTCGGTGTGCGCGAAAATCCGTTGAAATACGATTCGGCTTAACGGTTGGGGAGCTCCGGGGCGGCGTGGGGGGGCGGGGCGGCGTGGGGAGCGGGCCGGGTGGGGGCGGGGCGGCGTGGGGGGCGGGGCGGGACCGGACTTGCCTCAAGCGAAGTGAAAGGACTCGCTCTTCGGAAAGCGTGAGTCTACGCTTTAATTTCGGTAGCGCTCTGAGGGGTGGTTCAGGGTGGTTTCCGCCGCCTGTCCCGGGAAGCCGGCGCCTAGGAGCTTTGGAGATTTGGCCATTTTTTGAGTGCTGTGCTGACTTTCTGAGACAAGTAGATCCTCTCTCGTTCTTTCTTTTCCTCAGCGGAGGCGGGGGGTGGGGTGGGGCGAGAAACTACCCAGACAAACTTTATATAGAATTTTGAGTTGAAAGAATTTAATGAACTGGAACGCCTCGGTGGCTCGGGGGTTCGGCTCAGGGCGTGATCCCGGGGTTCCGGGATGGAGTCCCGCGTCGGGCTCCCTGCAGCGAGCCCGCTTCTCCCGCTGCCTGGGTCTCGGCCCGTCACGAATAAATAAATCTTTAAAAAAAGAATTGGTGAACTAGAGAGCTGATTCGGTAAAAAATGTTTTGGAGATTGAAACGTTGATTTTTGAGGCTTTGTTGGTAACCTCGTTTGATCAGTGATTGTTCATTCTTACTGGTTTATTGTAAATACGTATACGAGGCGAAAGAAAATAAAGACGTGAGTTGAGCACGATCGTTTGGTAACTTGGTTAAAGATCGCTTCCTTCCTCTACCTGGCCCTCCCCAAATTCGGACTGTTTTAGGGTTTTAAACTACTTAATGTTAACAAATCGTGATATTATAAGCAGCTTTTCTGCACGGTGTTTTATAAAAACAGGGCATGAAAAAAAAAAAAAAAAACAGGGCATGGGCTCAATTCAGTGCCGGGCGTTGGGATACAGTCTGCGCAGCTTTATCTTACGTCTGGCAACTTTGGGGTCGCTTAAGTTTGATATGGACACAGGAAAGGCTCGTTTTGAGAGTTTGGACAGGATTTTTATAAAATGTTCCAGTGTATTGACACAGGATTTATTTTTTTAATTGGGTGTTGTCGTTTGCCCTGTTTTTGCTGTGTATATTTTGCAGTGGTTTTCTGGTGAAAAACGCTGTTTTCATCCTTCATATTTTCGATCAATTGATGGCAAGTGAATGCTTTGCAACTTTGGAAGCAGAATATTCAAATGACTTTTGATAAATGCCTTTAATGTCTAAAAAACGTCTTTTTAAAAACTAGATGGTTTCTTGTTCTTACGTTCATTATCAAGAGTTTAGGTTTTCTATCATAAAATATAAATGAGCTTCATTTTAAGTAAACTCGTTTTGCAAGATTTTGAGTTTAATGAATTATATTAATTAATTTTGCATAATCCAGGCATGATTGGGCTCTAAGAAAGCTTTGCAGAAACTATCTTATGTAAAGAATGGAAAGGAACTAAAATTGATGCTGTGCCTGCTGTGAACCAGACATGATACTCTGTGCTTAACTATGTCATTTAGTCTTACATATTCCTGTGAAGTAGATATTATTCTAACTTAATGAGTTAAGAAATTGAGGCACAGAGAGGTTAAATACCTGCTTGGAGCAAAATAGCAAATTTTGCAGTTTGAATTTGGATTCAAGTATTTTTTAAAGCCCAGTTCTTTGCATTATGTTCTGGTATTTAAAATTTGTTTACAGGGGCACCTGGGTGGTTGAGTGCCTTTGGCTCAGGTTGTGATCCTGGGGTCCTGGGATTGAGTCCCACATGTGGCTCCCTGCGAGGAGCCTGATTCTCCCTCTATATATCTGCCACTCTCTGTGTGTCTCATGAATAAATAAAATCTTTAAAAAGTAATAATAAAATAAAATTTGTTTACAAAAATGGTTGAGGGGCATCTGCCTTACGCTTGCTCAGGTCCTGGGATCAAGCCCCAGGTCTGGCTCCCTGCTCAGAGGGGAATCTGCTTCTCCCTCTCTTTCTCAAATGAATAAATAAAATCTTGGAAAAAAAAGAGAAATAGTTGTTATAGCTACAGTGTACAGGGGCAGTGTGAATGAAAATTAAATTATGACCCTGAATATTTATTGTCCATGTGCTCCATGACAAATAGTTCTATTGGGAGGATGTTATGAATACCCAAATGATGAAATAACGGTAGTGAACAGTGGGTGCCTTTGCTATGCCAGCCATGCTTTTAAGCACTTGACACTGTATTAATTAATGTAATCCTCATAACTTCATGTGAGGTCTGTACTATTATCCCCATATTACAGATTTTTTTAAAGAACTATTTTTAAATTTTTATTTATTTATGATAGTCACAGAGAGAGAGAGAGAGAGAGAGAGAGAGGGGCAGAGGGAGAAGCAGGCTCCATGCACCGGGAGCCCGACGTGGGATTCGATCCCGGGTCTCTGGGATCGCGCCCTGGGCCAAAGGCAGGCGCTAAACCGCTGCGCCATCCAGGGATCCCCATATTACAGATTTAAAAAAAAAAAAAAAAAGCACAGAGCAAACAGCCAGTAAGTGGAGGAGCTGGGACCTAAAGCCCAGGTATTCTGACCCAAGCCTGAGGTCTTTATGCTATTTGGTGTTTCCCTTTGTGTAACAATTACCTCAAAAGCATTATTGTGTGAGCTTTCTGGTACTTTGGGGAAAGCAGTGTCCACTTCCAGATGGGATGACTTAGCACCTTTCCTTTGTGGAGATAGAACTTGAGTTGAGCTTTGAAGTTGAATAGGTTCTTCTAGGTGAGAACCAGCAGGGTATTGTGGGTAGAGGTCATGAGAGTGAGAGGTTCAAAGAGTGCAAGATTGGTGATTTGTAAATGTACCACAGAGGTAGAAATGTCTGGATTCTAGTGGTGGACTCAATGAATGTTGCATCTGTGTCTAACTACAGCCAAGTTTTAGTTGCAGTGTCATTAATCCAGTAGGGAATTGTCTGATTTTAAGAGTCTAAACGGTGGTGGTGTAAGTTGTCTATAAAAGGCCGATAGTAAATATTTTAGGTTTAGAGCAAGGGGACAAATGGTAAGAGGTGATCTCACTTGAGGGATGTGGAGGCTCCTGTGTGAGGATCTTGTAAGCCATAGTAGGAGTTTGGATTTTGTTGTTGTCAGAGAAGGGATTCCAGATGATTTTAATAATGAATAAGTCAAGCCCATAGACTCTGGAGCCAGACTGCACCACTTACTAGCTATGAGACCCGCATAAATTATTTAAACTCACTTAGCCTCAACTTTCTCTTAAGAAAAATGGGGGTAACAATAGAGCATGCCACATAGGGTTATTATCAGGAATATTTAATGAGGTAACACACATCAAGTGCTTAGATCATTGCCCGGCACAGAGTCGGCTGTAATATCTGTATTTTACAGGTATTAATATATCTGTACCCTGTGGTATATTCTAAATTTTCTATAGTGAAACATATTTGATGAAAAATTACATCTATAAAATAAAAAAAATGTTGGAAGTATGATGAGATTATAGGAAACACTATTAGAGTTGGGAAATTTGAGTTCAGTATTCTCATTCCTGAAGAGTTCAAGTAGAGGTACAAGACTACTCTGCAGTGTTCTTTGTCAGATCTGTAAATTGGGGACTGCTTACATAAATGATGGCCTATCAGCAAGATAGGAAATGAGGACATTGTTAAAGTGACTATAGTATTTCTAAAGGTATTTGTTTGGAAAGACTTCTCCCATCATTGATTACTTTAGCCTGTTTTGAGCTTTGGATCAACTGACTTGCACACTGTGTTCCCTCTTTTGTGTCTTTTACTCACTTCTTTATGATTGTGAGATTCATCCTCGTGTGTAGCAATAGTTGGTTCATTCTCATTGCTGTGTAGGCTTCCTTTGTATAAAACACAACAGTTTAATTATTATTAGTCTTAAAACCAGAATAAAACAACCAGTTTAAAGCTACACCTCAAATTGGAAGGGTTTTTTTGGGGGGGGTGTTCTTTGTTTTTCTTTTTGTTTGGAAGTAGAGAGAGCATGTAATTGGGAAGGAGCAGAAGGAGAGGGAGAAAGAATCTTTTTTAAAAAAGATTTATTTATCTGAGAGAGAGAGAGAGAGAGAGAAATAGCATGAGCAGGGGAGGGGCAGAGGGAGATAAACCCAAGAAGACATAGGGCTTGATCCCATGACCCTGAGATGGTGACCTGAGCTGAAACCAAGTCAGATGCTCAACTGACTGAGCCACCGAGGCATCCCTGAATAAAGGTTTATTCTAAATCACTAATGGAAGTATTATTGTTTTGTCATTTTCTAAAATTCAGCCAGTACTCCAATTCACTTTGAGTTGGCATTTGGAGAACATATTCCTATTAATATGTGAGGTAACTTTTTTATGTGTTGCTTTTCAGGAGTAGGTGGTTTACCTGCCCTGGGTGACCAGGCAGTTTCACAAATAAGTCCTCCAGCAAGCTTAAATATAAATAGGCCCAACTCAGAGGAAGTGGAGTGCTGCTGTTGCACAAAAAAGATGTCTAGCGGCTCCAGTGAAGCTGATGTGGTTTGTATTTCAGATTGAAAAATCTGTCTTTGTTCTTTTCATTGTGCTGTGTTTCTTTTCTAAATTTAATTTAATTCAATGAAATGCAGAAATAACAAGTTCATAAGTTTTGACAGTGATCTATAAAGCTTCAAAAAACGTTCATATATAAGTTTTTGTGAACAGATACTAGCATTTCTCTCAGGAGTTGAATTGCTAGTTCATAGAGTTAATGTAAATTTATGAAAATCTGCCAATCTTTCAAAATGGTTGGGCTATAGTACAATTCTGTCACATCCTAATATTTTTTCTGATTCCTGAAAGTGAGTGAAAATATAGATTACTAAACTGTATATAATTCGGCTTAACAGAAAAAGCATTTCTTTACTTAAATAAGGATGTGGGTATTAATGCTACCTAAACACTATTGGCAATTCTCATAACTTCTATCAGCCCCAGTATCTTTTCATCTTTGGAGTTAATGTTACTGAGAATTTCTTTCTGACATAAATATGTGGGAGCAGTTTGAAAAGCATAAGGCTATATACAGTATATTTTTATAAGAACTAATCTATAGCCCATTCCATATTACTTTGGTTATGTTTTTTGAAACAAAGACTATATAGCTTCTATCTGTCTTTATTTTAACATTATTCATATAGTTTATAATTCATTCTTAGAATGCTATTAATAAATGAAATGTAATATTTCAGGTTATTTATTGTGTATTTATTTATACCCTATCCTATTCCAAAAAAATGTTTTAAGGTGATAGAGATTAATTTATCAGGAAAAATGGGTGCTTAAATGTTTCCTATTTTGTCCACAGAGTGGCACTGTTGGATTATTTAAAAATCAAAAGTTTTGTAACACACACACACACACACACACACACACACCCTGTTCTCTGTTCATGGTTAGAAATAACTTGCTTTTCTCTCTTTCTCTCTCTCTCTGCTTTTTTTTTCTCTCTCTCTCTCTCTATCTCACACACACACACACACACACAGTTCTTTGTTCATGGTTAGAAATAACTTGCTTTTATAGCAGTTCTGGTGTCAGGTTACTAGATTAGTCTTTCTACCCTGAGGTACTCAAGAGGTTAATAACCTCAATGGAAGATTATATCTTAAGTGTAGTTAAGATAATGAGAAGACAATTTTTCAAGTACACCTTCTCATGTAGTAGTATTTACAATGGACGAAGGTCCTTTAATATCCCCAATAGGCTTTTGAAGCTTCTTAAAAGTGAAATTGAAGTCCTCAGTTTCTCTTTCAGTTCTGTCTTTCATCTTTCCTTTTAATTTGTTAATACATCTTCCTTAGATAAGAACACGAATACCTGCTTATGATGATGATAATACTGTTCTTTATGCATATGAACCAAACACTGCATATATCAATAATGTAAGTAATGTTAATTGCCATTTGCCAAATATATTAACACTTAACCATTTTAAAGAAAAAAGTCTAAATTCTTCATATACTATAGAGTTCCTCTAAATTCACACAAAAAATATTGGCCTCCACTGAATTTATTTGCTTCCTTTCATTAGACAGTGAGCACTTATCCATTTTACCTCCCTTTTCTTTATGTTGTAGGAAGTTCAGGGCAATTTATACTCCTTTTCAGTACAAAACTCAAAACCTAGGTCCTTCTGATAAAATAAATTCCTATTTCCTCTCTTAATCAGCAGTTATCATTTTCATTCTCATATTAATGTGTGGTTTTATTTTATTCTGTCGCTACTTTTTTTCTAAGATTTTATTTATTTATTCCTGAGAGACACAGAGAGAGGCAGTGACACAGGCAGAGGGAGAAGCAGGCTCCCCATGGGGAGCCCGATGTGGGACTTGATCCCAGAACTCTGGGATCATGCCCTGATCCGAAGGCAGCCGTTCAACCGCTGAGCCACCCAGGGATCCCTTGTCTCTGCTTTAGGTTAAGATTTCTGAACCCCTTTGAAAAGTTGGTGAAAAATAAAAATTTAAATAAATAAATGTAAAGTGTTTTTTCCTCCTAGGATTCAAATTAGCTCTTACAAAAGTAAAGCATTAACTATTTAACTTTTAAAATATTAGCAGGAAAACGTTATGTCTGAGACCTCCTACAACGAAGAGCAGCAAAAAACAGTGCTGGATGTCCTTACTCACTGTCAGGTACAGAAGTTCTGTCTCTCAAATGTAGATTTCTGAAATACTATGTTAAAATCCCGGTTATCTCATATAAAGCATACAATGAATTGAAATTTTGCTGTATCAAATTCATTATGATTATCCCTTCATTGTGATGATTTTTAACAATTTCTGGTTAGAATAGCATCTCCAGGTGAAAATCTTGAAATACCAGTATGTACATCTGGTAGCTTTGTTTTAAAAGCCTTTAACTGAAAAAAATGTATGTCATGTTGTGCAATATTGAATTAATTTCCCCTACAAAATCTTTAAAGGAAATTGCCTGATATGGATAAAATTTAGTATGTGCTGCCTAAATGCATTGCTGAGATACCGCAGTCAAAAAAAAAATGGCAGCTCACCATTGTTTTTTTTCAAGGATTTGGTAGCTGCATCCTCTAGAGGTAGTGAAAGTTTATTTTTTAAAAAATAGATGTTAAGATCCAAAGTTTGTTAGTTAAAATGAGCTACCGTGCCTAAGTCCAGAATCTTTTGGTGAGTCTTTATCACTCTTATTGAGAACAGAAGTGGATAGCTTCGAAGGAACACGTCAAGTCTTTGGGGAAGGATGTCCAGAGTGGGGGGGACGGTTCTGATTTCAGGCAGGGCCCTCTCCGGCCTGCCTCCCGTGAGCATCCACGACGCCCCTGGCTGGGACGGCTCCGCCAGGGCCTTCTCTCTGAGCGACTGTGTGAGATGTGGTGGGCTAGAGCGTGGGGGAGGAGAGATGCTGGGGGCCCTAAGTCACAGCCCTGAAACGGATCAGCAGGGAGCCTCCCCATTTCTTCCAGTATGTGAGTTCTCTCCTTTCTTCAGCCCCTGTCCTCAGCGGGCTAGACCTGTTGCTGCACACTTCCAGCTTTTCTTTTTCTGTCCTTGCCCAGAGTTCTCTTTAGGGAGACCCCAGCCCTATACAGGCTGGGAAACAGAGGGGGCCCTGCTGGGACCCGTCCACTGCCCTGTGGCCTGTCCACAGGGCTCGAGGTAGCTCCCTGTCTGTCCCCCTCAAGCTCCAGACAGCCCAGCCCTCGCTGCTTATTTCAGGAGAGGTGGGGAGTGAGGCTCAAATCCCTCCATGTCCTGATTCCTGGCCCTACAGCCAGCCACTGGCCTGGGATCTGGCCTTCGGGCCTCTCCCTCTCTAAGGCTAAGTTAGCTGGCACTGCTCCGCCTCTGAGCCTCTTCCGTGGGCTGGGACACCTCCGTTTGTGAGTGGCCCGCTCCTGCACCTTCCGCCTCTGGCTCCATTGCTCTGCCTACCCTCCACAGCTTAAGGCCGCCTCCTCTTTGGGCCTCCCATCTCTCTTCCTGTCGTGCATTCTCTCTCCTTCCCTTAAAAATACAGCTCTTTCGGGATCCCTGGGTGGCGCAGCGGTTTGGCGCCTGCCTTTGGCCCCGGGGTGCCATCCTGGAGACCCGGGATCGAGTCCCACGTCGGGCTCCCGGTGCATGGAGCCTGCTTCTCCCTCTGCCTGTGTCTCTGCCTGCCTGCCCCCCCCCTCTCTCTCTCTCTCTCTCTCTCTCTCTGGCTATCATAAATAAATAAATAAATATTAAAAAAAAAGAAAAAATCCAGCTCTTTGAACATTATTTATGTTCACCGGCTAAACATCTGACTTCCGGTGTTCTCTCTGTTTGGGTAATTTTGAATCTACTGTCCTTCTGCCTTCTCTGCCCTTCCCTGCGTCTTTACCTAGTGAACACCATCTTGTCTTAATCCTCAGTGTAGATGTCTTCATTGAAAAGCCTGCCACCACTGCCAGCCTGGCTTAGGTCTTGCTCTTCTACGCACACTTAGCCTCCCATTCCTGCCTGTGTCAGAGCCATCAGAGGCATATAGGAATATTACTGGATGATTGAGCATTACTGGACCAGGGGTTGTGTAGTACTCTTGTCATGACGTTAATATTAATAACCATACCACTGCGCCTCACGTTGTCCTCAAGGGAACTGGGGGAGAGATTTCTCATCTCGATTCTCTACATGAGGAAATTGAAGCACAGAGAAGTTAAGGAACGCGCCCAAGGTCACACAGCTGAGAAGCAGCAGAACTCTGGTCTTTGCACCCGTGTGTTCCCCGAGAGCCTGCACTGTTCACCTCAGTGCTGTCGGCTGGAGGGTCTCGCTTGATCATGCATCAGAACCACCTGGAGGGCAGACAGCTGCCCCCACTCAGAGTTCCCCAATTCAGTAAGTGGAGGGCAGGAGCTCATGTGTTTCCGACAAGCCAGTGGGTGACTCGTGCTACTGGTCTGAGACCACACTCTGAAAACCATGGCTCCTGGCTGCCCATCACTTTATTGAAATTTCTCCCCAGCTAACACGGGGAGCTCCTTAGGGCAGGATCTGTTGGTTGTCTTGTTTCCTTTTTTTTCCTTTTCTGTCCATAGTCCCGGCACCTAGCAAAGCCATTCTGATAGGAAGTAGGCCCTCGGTACATGTTTATTTATTTGAATGAATGAATGAATGAATGAATGAATGAGGAAATGGTTCTGGCCTCCTGTGTAAGTATTTTTTTCTGAGTATTTTGAAATTTCTGAGTATTTGAAGAATTCTCGGGTTTTATTAGTCACATACCTGGTTGGCTGCGAGGGGACATGTCCTGGAAGGTTTTGTAAGGTTGTTGATTGCCTGATTTCAAAATACTTTGAAGTCAAAAGTCACATCTGTTATATTTGGCTCACTGTTCTTTACAGAGTGGAATGCTCATTGCCTGTGAATTCACACCATGATTAGATGGAAAGAGGTTCTTTGGCCTTTTAGCAGATTTGAAGTTTTCTTTCCTAAAATAGCTCTTTGGTTGATCTAAAAGGACTCCATCATAAATGTGGTGGCTTTAAGATTGATGGGACGTTTACTTTCTGGTTTAGAGCTTCATTAAATGCCTGTATGGCATGGAGTAGTTGAGTAGGAGGCTGGGGCTCCTATCTCAGCTGGCTCGGCTTGGCATCACCAAAACCAGAGATCTGGTTCTGACAGCTTGAGAACTTTTCTTTGTTTCTGGCAGTCAAAATTGGGCTGCTTTGTTGTGTTACTTTTGAAATAGAAACTATTAATAGCTTGTATTATAATAGGTCATCTATGATGCTATTCAAAACCTGGATAAGAAATTTGATGTCATTCATGGAAAAGTTTCAAAAATCCACCGTTTTCGTGCAAAAGCATTGTGGCAAAATCGCGTGAGTGTTATAAAAATATTTTCACAACTGTAGTAGACCCCTCATTTCTAAAGATGCCAATGAGTTAGAAATGAGAAGGAACTATTAACTAAGTGATTAGCAATGCCAGTTGATTCTTGCTGTAGCAGCAGATGGGAGACTAAAACTTGTTGGGAAAATGCTAAAGTTTAAGTTTGAGAAATGTATGACAATATTTTTACGTTTAAAACCACAATATATAAAATTCAGTTAAAGTGTATGGTTGAGGAAGAACAAAAAATCATATAATCAAAGTAGAGCATTAATATTTAGTAATATAAAACAGTGTTATATGAAAAATAAATTTACATTTACTACTTCCTTTTTTACTCACTGACAGTTGGTTTATGCTGGGTTTGTGTCATTTCAGAAGCCACTTGGATATGCCTACAAAAATTATAGTTACCTGCTTTCCAGAAAGATCAAATTCCAGAAAATGAGAAAAAAGGAGCCTCCTTCTTCATTCTCTTACCCTGAAAGTTATAGCCCAACTATGCCAGTAGAAAGGCCCACAAGTGGTTCCCCACCCAATATTATAGGATCACCTTATCGTTCAGAGGTGGGGTCCCCAGAACAGGATCGAGAGTCATTCCTCCAGGAGCAGGAGCCAAATCTGAGCCAGAGTCCGCCACCTACTACCATCTATTCTTCACATTCATTTCAGCCATATTTCTCATCTAAAGAGCCAGTGCAGGGCTCCTCTTCCATGCCCTGCTATCATAGCCCTGGGGCCCATAGCAGCAGCATGTTCTCACCTACTCGTGCTTCCACAGCAGCACCTGGTGCCATGATGGCACAAGGTGAACCCAGTCTGGTACATAACCCTGAGATGATGGCTTATCCAACTTTAATGGAAAAGCAGAGCCTCAACCATGCTGCCTCATCTCATTGTATCCCACCCAACTTTGGTGAGTGTGAAATGACAGATATTACAGGTAGCACTATTTAACCTATAATCTTCAACATCCTTGATGCAAGGTCATTTCTCCCTACATAACATCTCTTCTTTCAGGATAATGGTCAGGTCAAGTTTGATTTGTCTTTTTCTCCCCATTGAAGCTACAAGTTCACCAATTCGAGCTAACCCAGGTTTCCTGAAACGAGGCTTCCCTGATGACCCTTCAACCTGGTCCGTAGATGAAGTGATCGAGTTTCTGAAACACAGAGATCCTCAGACACTCAACCCCATCGCTGATCTTTTCAGGCAACATGTAATGTATATTTTGATCTGGTTTTCCTGCCATAATGCGTTTTTCTTTTCTTTTTTTTTTTTTTAAGTAATCTCTATACCCAAAGTAGGCCTTGAACTCAACCACCCCAGATTAAGAGTCGCATGGTGTAGGACTGAGCCAGCCAAGTGGCTGGCTGCCTGCCATAATGCTTTTGAATGACCTCTGTGCAGGCCCTTCAGTTGGGTACTGGTTAGTTGTACACATGGTGTGGGGGGACCCCTATCAACTGATTTTCCATATGTGAGAAAGGTCACTTTGCCCAAAGTTAGATCCTTAGCCAATAGAGGCTGGATTTAAATAGGAACAACCTGACAAGGTGTCTTCCTTGATATGATGCCCAATGAATGCAGCAACTGATTATTTGGCTCGGTTCTGTCAACCTTATATGGTTATTGACTATTTAGGATGCTGATCCCCTCATGCCATTTGCAAAGTAACATCATGGGCTAATTTTTTTTTAAGTTCTAATTTTCATTGTACTTAGTAGAAAAAGTGCAGAAGGTGCCTGACAAAGGCAGTACTAAGGAGTTTTTCAGGTCTTTTCAGACAGTACAGTTTTATTGTTAAACCAGAACTTGTGAAAACCAAGTAATATGTTTCAACATCAGTTAGTAAAGAATTTGAGGAGGGTGCCTTTTGACTATCAAGTCATAGTTTTATAGTGTTTTCTAATAAAATTAGTGGCCATATATTTGATATACCCTTTTCAATATGGCAAGAAAATAATTAGTTTTTAGCATCTAACTGGCTTCAGGCAACTAATTTATTAGCTTTCAACATCAAGGCAACATATAGCACATGTACAGTTTGTATGGATGCTGACATCCTCAGATTCCAAACTGTTCTAAGAAAGTTAATAGGCATCTGAAACTCATTTCTATCATTCATAGTTTTTAGTCTGTCATAGATATGCAGTATTTTATTCCACACAGTATTTAAAGATTGGCAGTTTGATGCCTAGGACATTTTTAAGATTTTAGGTTAGGAGCACCTTGGTGGCTCAGTTGGTAAAGCGTCCGCCTTTGTTTCAGGTCATGATCCCAGGGTCCTGGGAGTCCTGGGAACAAGTCCCAGGTCAGGCCCCCCTTCTCACTCTCCATGTCCTTCTGCCCCCCTCCCACTTCGTGCATGCATGCATGCGCACGCTGTCTCTGTTTCTCTCGCTCTCAAATATTTTTTTAAAAAAAGATAGGTTAAGTTTTCTTAAAATTCGAAGTATATTTATAAATGGTCGAACCATGCTTCACTGTACAAACTATATTTTTTAGTTTTCAACAAGCAGGTATATACTCAGAATGTTCTTGTATATAAAGAAATGACCATTCTGATAAAATATGAGCACATTAACTAATTAATTGTCATTTCCTTCTGTCTGTAGGACATTGATGGGAAGGCTCTGCTATTGCTCAAGAGTGACATGATGATAAAGCACATGGGGCTGAAGCTAGGGACAGCCGTGAAGTTGTGCCACTACATTGATAAGCTTAAAGAAGAAACATTCTTTAACAATTAAAAACATGTTTGTGTAAGTTTAGCTTGGATTTCAGTCAGGGAGACAAGTGCCATCTTGGTGTAAAATCATTTTTTTGCCCTTAGAAGTTTTTGCTGTGTAGAAGGTTCCTCTAAAAATATGTTCTATCCAGAATTGCAGATCTATATTACAGTCTGGTCTACTATTATAGAAGCCATTTAACATGTTACTATTGGCATATTCAGACTGGGAGTTTGTTTTTCATATCATTTTATTATTTTCATTTTATAGTTGACGAATGTACTTCATACAGGAAACAGAAACACCTCTAATTTTTGTTCATCTTTATAGAACCAAAAATAGCTGAATCCCAAAGAGAAAATACTAGAGATTGACAAGTTCTCTAATAAATCCATGGGTTTTTCTTACAAGAAAACTTAAAGATGCAACTATAGATAGATAGCATCTTTCTAAATGTTTGTTACTGTAAGGTTCCGTTCATGAGCTACCAGTTTCCCAAAAGGGAAAGCCATAGAAATTAATTTCCTGTTATTATTTCCGTATATGTTATATTCCTACTTAAGATTAAAAGCAACCTTATAAACCTTTCTTGAAGTATTATTACCAGTTTTTAGATAAACTGTCAGATAGAATGGTTATTTTATGCAAGTGGTACTTATTTTAAAACTTAGATATTTTGCCTAAGCTTGGACATTTCACTAGGCATTCATTGCTCACATCTCTCTGTAAAGATGCCTGTGTCCAAATACTTAAAAGATATATACTTTATTGTGTTCAAAAGGATACTGTTCCATATTTATATTTTGTTCTATAGATGAAGTATACACATAAGTAAATCTTTTCTTTTAGAATTTAAAAATAGCACTTTGTACTTCCACAGAGGTAAAGATAATCTATTTTTAGTGAGATGTTTTTATTCTGTTTACAATACTCACATCATTTGCCATCACTAGTACCTCTTAGCTGACTCTTCAGGGTTTCCATACATGGAAGTTCTCTGTTTTGTGCAATGTTCCTACTTCATTTGCTTTCTGAGCCATTTGTCCTACTAAACTTTAGAAGATACATTAGTTCTGATATGTCATTTTAGACTTTATTTTAAAAACTAGAACTTTTAAGAGAAACATGTTCATTGTTACTGTTTTATTATTTATTATCTTATATAACATTTGATGTAGTGTTTATAAGCTATAAGAATCGGTGCTAAGTGTATTAGCCATTTGTTACAAATGCCAATAAAATGTTCACCAGGGGCAAAAATGTACATTTTCCTTTTTGAAAACCAAATGTACATTATAAACAAAACCAATTATTTACTGGGCACGTGATTTAAAAGGTGCTTTTTTTTATGTTCATCTATGTTATTTTTATTTCTTTTTAAGACAAGATTCTATTTTAAACTTGATCTTCTCTCAAGTTGTTTGTGTGAAGATGCTGTGCCCAGTTGAACAGTCCTCAGGTGTTTGTATGAATACTGTGTTTTACAATTTTCAGATTTTAAAATTTAATAAAGTTTTAAAACCACAATAATGTCACAGTCTCCACTTTGACTTTTTTTGCTTTCACTGCATGACATTAATGTACGAATTTATTAGAGTTGATAAAGAAACACTTTACTAAGTGTGTGGTTTTGTGTCCAAATACTTGCCCTCATTCTACAGTTAGGCTGATCCCTAGCAGCAAGGGCTGATCTCTTGTAGGGCCTTAAACTAGACCCCAGGGGAGCAGTACAGGGTTCCATCAGTGAGCTTTGTGCTCAAAACTTGTGGTTTGCAATGGTACTGATGATGCAAGTGTGCTAGAAAATGACAATGGCCCCCACAGATCCCGTCACCACCCCTGCCCAGGGGGTGGGGGGGTGGGGGGGTGTCTACATCTGGCTGTCAGGACCTGGCTGCCCTTTTACTCCTGGGGGCCAGGAGCCATACTGCCTTTCTGCTTTCAGCTCTCCCAGCTTACAGGGTGGAAAAGCCTTAGAGGCTCAGGCTTTTGAGGTTGAATCGCCTTCAGTGTGACCCCTTGCCCCCTCCCCTACAGCATGTCTCGGAAGCAGGAGACATGGCTGCTGGTTCACTGGAGACGACAGTGCCCTCGCTGAGGCTCCAGGGCTGATGTTCTAGTGGCTGGGACGGGGATGTCACTTTGCCGTCTGGGACCCGGGTGATTGAGAACCCCTCGAGCTTTACTGTCTGCTTTGTAAAATTTTAGTCCAGAGATACCGTTGCCACGTTAGGCTCTTGTGAACTCTCCAGGCTTTAAAAGTGATCTTCCCTCTGGTTTTGCCTCAGTCCATCCTTCCAGCCCCAGCTGGCGGCATTCTGCAAGCTGACCTGTGCAGTCCCCTGGGCGCACACGGCGCTCGCTCTCGTCTCTGTGTGTTTTCTAATCGTCCTGGAGTCTGCGGTCCAGAGTAGGACTTCCCAGACTTTTAAACGCGGGCCCCTCTGGAAGCATGAAAAAGCCAAGGCCTTCTGTAATCTGATTAGAAATTAAGAACTAAACGTCAGGAGTAGGAGCAGCGTCGTGGGGAGGCAAAGGCCTGGTTCTGAGGCTACCTAAGGGAGCGCGCACACCTGGCTGAGTCCGCGCAGCACGGTTGAAATCCTGGGGCTGCCTGTACCGGGAGGTGCGGGACTTGCTGGTGTTTGGAAGGCCCCTGAGGCTGGTCCGGGGGACGAGGGCGGGCTCCAGGCACGGAGGATGTGCGGCCCGCGCCGGCGAGCAGACGCAGAGGGCGCTCCTTCCTCCACCTCGCCAGGGCGCTCCTTTGTCCTCCCCGCGGCGAGGCGAGCACGTGCTCAGCTCGAGCTGCCCTGCTTCTCCCGGCGACGCTGGAGGTAAGTGGGCACTCGGGACCCCGCTCTGGCGCCTGGGGCACTCGCTGCCCGGGGCGGGGGGAGTCCCTAAGGCGAAGGCCACCTATCTGCTCCCCTCGAGCTGCCTGGAACGGAGCGGAGACGCCCCAGGGTTCCTGGAGAGGAGAGCCGCGGGGGGGCGCACGGTAGAGCAGAGGGGCAGTTCCCGGCGACGGCGACGGCGAGGCGACGCGAGAGGGTCCCGGCCCCTCTCGCCGGGACTCGCGTGCGGCGGCACCAGGCAGAGCAGGAGCGCTCTCCTCGGACCTGCCCCACGCCCACGGCTACCAGCGCTCGGAGGCCGAAAGGGCGGCCACGGCCGAGCAGCAGGTCTTGCCGTGAGCGTGCGTCCTAGCTCGGGCGCGGCCGGCGCTGCGCAGGGGCCAGCACGGTTCGGCTCAGCTAACGTTTCCCTGCATCCGCCGAAGAAAACAAGGAGGAAGCTGCAAGGGTCGTAGAGTAACGCAGTCTGTTGTTGTTGTTGTTGTTGTTGTTGTTTTAAGATTTATTTATTCATGAGACACAGAGAGAGGCAGAGACACAGGCAGAGGAGAAGCAGGCTCCCCGCGGGGAGCCCGATGCGGGACTCGATCCGGGATCCCAGGATCACACCCTGAAGGCAGCCGCCCAACCGCTGAGCCACCCAGGGAATGCCTGGAACTGCGATTTAAAAATAAAAATAGAGGGATCCCTGGGTGGCGCAGCGGTTTGGCGCCTGCCTTTGGCCCAGGGCGCGATCCTGGAGACCCGGGATCGAATCCCACATCGGGCTTCCGGTGCATGGAGCCTGCTTCTCCCTCTGCCTGCGTCTCTGCCTCTCTCTCTCTCTCTGTGACTATCATAAATAAATAAAAATTAAAAAAAAATAAAAATAAAAATAGAGAAGCTCAAAGCCGTGTTGGTGTTGGTAATAAATAAAACGTCAGTCTCCATTGGCTCTGGTAAATGTTCCCTTCTTTTTTTTTTTTTTTTTGTTCCCTTCTTTTTAAAAAGCTCTGTGACTGGGAATCCCTGGGTGGCTCGGCGGTTTAGCACCTGCCTTCGGCCCAGGGCGTGATCCTGGGATCCCGGGATCGAGTCCCACGTCGGGCTCCCTGCATGGAGCCTGCTTCTCCCTCTGCCCATGTCTCTGTCCATCTCTCTCTGTGTGTGTCTCTCATGAATAAATAAATAAAATCTAAAAAAAAAAAAAAAAAAAGCTCTGTGATAGTACATTTCAAGCCCCTGCAGAAACAGAAGAGTGTAAGGAACCCGGATCCCATCCCCCAGCCTCAATAATGATGAACCCATGACCAGTCTTGTTGCAGCCAAACACCCACCCGCACCCCCCAATTCCACGTTGATTTGAAGCAGATAGGACTTATCATTTAACCTAAAGAGGTCACTACATATATTAAAAAGATAAACATTTTATAAAGTAACCATACTACTGCCACACTTTAAGAATGCATTTCTAGGACTGTTCTCTAATGACAGGAACCAGGTTTCCTCGGAGAAATGTCTGTTTCCAGGACCGGCGCAGGGAACATTCCAGAAGAGTCTGGAGCATCTTGTAGCGCCAGAAGGATGTGCTCCAAAAAGCACAAGGATGGGGCCTTACAGCGGGACACGGGAGCCAACTGAAAGAGCTCCCGGAGCCTCAGTCTGGAACCATCTGAGCAACAAGCAAAGCAGTATTGGATTAGAACCCAAAGCGTAAAAGAAACACCCACGAGTGCGTGGTTTACTGCTGTAAACAAGCGACGGAAGAAACGAGCAGATGGGGGAGAATGGATCTGTGCGGAAGGACCCCCAATAATGTAGAGTCTCACTCGGTCTTCCCATGAGGAAAATCACCAGACAAATCCCAACTGGAGAACATTCTTCCAAACACCTGATGGGTACACCTCAAAACTGCCAAGGTCCTCAAAAACAAGCAAAGTCTGAGAAACCGTCACAGCCCAGAGGAGCCCAAGGAGGCATGCTGACTAAACATGATGTGGGACCCTGGATGGGACCCTGGAACAGAAATGGGCAAAAACTGAGGAAATCTGAACACAGCGTGGGCTTTGGTTCATAATAATATATCAGTGTGACTCGTTGTGGCAAATGTACCTAAGATACTAACAGCGGGGAAAATGGGTGTGGGTACTCTCTCTACTATCTCAGTACCTCTCAAGTAGATCTAAAACTATTCTAAAAATTTTAAATTACCTGAAAATGAACATTTCCTCCATATCTTTAAGCAGGCATGTAGTATTCAAATCTCTTTTTTTCCTTTTCTTCCTTAGTAGGCTCCCAACCCAGTGTGAGCGCAGTGCAGGGCTTGAACTCATGACCCTGAGATCAAGACGTGAGCTGAGTTTAAGAGCCGGACTCTTAACCCACTGAGCCGCCCGGGTGCCCCTGCAGTACACAAATTGCCGAATATCCCAAGGACATCTTTTGTTTTTACAGGTTGATATTCCGCCTCTTTTAATTCTCCATTATAGTGCTGTCCAGTAGGGACAGATCTAATTCGAGCCATCTACGTAATTTAAATTTCCCAATGGGTACATTGAACAGTAAAACTAAACAGGTAATGTCAATTTTGACAATACCATCGTGTAATCCGATATATCCGAACTGTCATCATTCCAACATGTAAAAGTATTGGAGAGACAGTGTGCACTGTTTTTGTGTCCTCTCTTTCAAGCTCGGTGTGTATCTTGCACTGAGAGCACATCCCATTTCAGCCTGGCCCGTTCTCATGCTCAGTAGCCACGTGTGGCTGCAGCGCGGAAAGGCCCCATCGCCTAGCCGACCCGCCGGGCCTGTGCCCCAGACCACCAGCAGCAGCTTCACCTGGGAACCTGCCGGCAAAGCAAATCCTCAAGCCCGCCCCAGGCCTGCCGAAGGAGAAACTGGGAGTGGGCCTCCCGTCTTCACGCTTTTCTTTTGGAACTTTTCAGAACCTGGGAGCAGGGAAAGGAGGGGTGATATTTATGGGAGTTGACTCAGAAATCTCAATATGCAGCATAAAGTTGGCATCTAATACCGCCCCCCAGACACACAGAATTAGTTATTAGGTTCTGTTGCTTCCTTCTGTAGCACACAGCTCATTCTATCCCTTTGGCATCACCTCTTGCTGTCCTATTTTAGAAACACTAGTCGCCCGGGTTCATGGTCAATATTTCCTGTCCTCTTTAAGATGTTATTCACTATGGACCTACAAAAAGTTAGGTCAACTGAATACATACTCAGAATTGTGGCCCTCGGAGCTCTAATGTGATTCTCTCCTACCCGGCTGATCTCATTTCTTGCCAGATCCTGTCCCCCACACTTCATGGCCATTAAGTCATCTTCATACTATTTCCATTTTGTCCCTTCTCGGGTCATGAAACTCATAAACCCCATTAGGAATATTTAATGCGGCTCTTTTCTCCTCACCAGTGAAAATGTCCCCATGACCCTTTTTCCTGGTTTCCACACCTTTGTGTCATCTCACATCGAGTGTGGTTGGACTTCCTCCTCTTCTCGAGTGAATAGATACAGGAGAAGTGATGAGATGTCAATCTTGAGACCAGACTGAAGAGACGGTGGCTTCCGTCGTAGGCGCTCTCAGATCGCTCGCTCGCGGGGGAGCCAGCTCCCCTAGCACCAGGCAGGCCTTTAAGGGTCTCAGCTGTGTGGCCCAAGGACTACCAACTACTTTGT